AATGTGACCTTAAAATTGACCTTTGACCTACTTTTCACCATGAACTGAACTCTGCTAATTTCTTTCTCTTTTAACTCCTAACCTGGCAGAGATAGGTCCATAGTTACTATTGAACTTGAATAGGAAGTCATATACTGGCAATCTTACTGTGAAATTAACCTTTGACCTACATTTTGATGAACTTAACTTTGATTGTACCATTTTAAGTTATATATATATTTTTTGCATATTTTGAAAATTCTTGTTGATTGCATTTTTACAGCTTGTCAAGCAAAAGACTGGTGGCTGTGTCCCTTATTTTGTGTATGTGGGGGTCTATACGAATGAGCTTGCTCCAGCTGGTGGTACAATATTCGGAGGCGGTATCGCCTCTCTGATCCTCTAGTTTCAAGAAACATTTTCAATAAAGGAACATAGTTTCGGAAATCGATCAAGTTTAAGAAATATATAGAAATATTAATTGACTGTTAAATCTCATTGAACATTTTCTATAGCTAATGACCAATGACTTTGTATTTTTAGGCCCCTACTTTAAAATATCGTATACAGATGCAAAAGACATGGTGGTCAAGATGTATTGTTAAGATTTCTCTAATTTAAAAATTGTACAAAGCATTGAAATCAAGTACATGGATCGACTTTTGGCGAGTTGGAGTTTTTTATTTTTATTTTTCGGGGGCGCGAAAAATCTTAGAAAGCTAGGATACCTTGAAGGCACTAATGTAATGTGTGAGGGTAGGGAATACCCCCCCCCCCCCCCCCTTAGTCACCAGTCACCAAGATTAAAACTGCTCAATCACCAATCACCAAGATATATTCAGGCCAATCACCAAAAATTCCTGAATCACTTTTCACGCAGAATATTGGGCTCAGATCGAAAAAAAGGCCAATCACGCGTAATGCAAAAGGTATTCCGTATACCCCAGTCGTTGTAAGAAAAAAATTATGCCAATACATCAAACTGAGCGTTTGAGGTAAAAAGCCAAGAAACAGAATTTGTGCTGTATTGTCTTTGAAGAAGCCAATTATTTTGCATGGAGCTATTGCTGTGTTGCGTCATAAATAGAATGACGTCATTCTCGTATCAACCGAATGTTCATGTTACTACGGAGATATGAACAGATAGATAAAATCTGACAATGGGTAAGTGGTTTTTTTTCTTTTATTCTGTTTCAAGTAACTATGAAAATATAATTTTAGACTTGTTAGTTAACAGCTCCGAATTACCGGTCGTTTTGCGAAAGTCCTGTCTTACAGATTTTTATGTTTCGAGCCCCTGCTCAGTGTTTCAAGTCCAAGTAGTATTTAGATGGCAAAGAATGTGCATATTTTGGTGAGATAATGACTGTGGACTGAGTTTGCGCGCAGGAATACAAAATTAATATACGGGATCCGTATTTTATATAGAACTTTTGTAAGGTGTGTGCGCTCATTTTGTTTTAAAAGCGGAAATAAAATACTTTTTTAATTTTCCGCGTAGCGCCTACAAACATCTAGTTTTGTCCTATCCCTAGAGGAAATTTCCATATATGAAAATAAACGTACTCTTCTTTAATTATGTAAATGGACTGAATATTTGAACAGGTATAAATTGCTGTCTAAATGTCTTGCCAGACATCTAGAACTGGATTTTTAAATAAGAAATAGTATAAACCATCGAATCTTAGTGCAGAGATGATGAAATCGATGCTTTGTAAGCAGAAGAAATTCGCTTCTTATTCTGGGACTCGGAAATCTCGAAAATGATACATTTAACTAAATGATACTGATGTAAAATACTAGGGAGTAATTGCTTTAAATCATAAAGCCCATACATCAACTGGGGGTTTGACGTTAAGGCTAGAGCTTATTTTCCTCGTATTTAGCATGACGCCGTCGCTGTGTTGCGTCATAGACAGAATGACGTCACTCTCTTATCAACCAAACGTTCATGTTACTAGAGAGATATGAACAGATAGATAAAATCTGACGATGGGTGAGTTGTCTTATTATCATTGTTACTATTATGTAACAATGTTTCAAAATATAATATCTCTTATAGCTCTGAGTAACTGTTTGTTTTGCAGTATAGTGTCTTTTTTTATATTTCAGGATTATTTAGGAAAAAAGTGTTACCGGATCTCCCCGTTAGGGTTGATCCTGAATATTATCATTATGGAAAAGATATGATGGCTTTGAAGAACAGCCTGAACCAAGTTCTCTTGACTATGAAGCAAACACTTGAGGACGTGAACAAGAAAACCCTTCACGTTGCTGATCTTGAGGACAAAATGGAAAATATGTCAAGCCATATTACTGATTCAGAAAACAACATTGGTGAGTCAACGATTCAATTTCAGCATTATATACAATGTATACTGAATAACCCAATGTTTTTTTTTTTGTTTTGTTTTTTTTTTTCTAAGAATCTATTATTTTGACCTTAATTCGCAATATGCAGTTAAATATAATTTGCAATTTTCTGAAGAATATTGATAGTTTTTGTAACAGGCTCTTCGATTAATAAACCTTAAACATACTATGTATTTGTAAAACAATCTATTTATAATGTGACTTTTTTATAGCAATGATTGAGGAAAAGTGCGTAGAAAAGGAGCAGGCTCTGAATCTTATAAAACAGCAAATCGCAACACTGCAGGAAGAAAAGTCGGCCGCCCTACAGAAAATTTCAGAGCAGCAAGATGAACTCGGTATGCATTCATTGTTAAATTTTCTTCTAAAATTTAATCATTTCATTACTGCCGTTAGAAAAAAGAGAAATATCAAGAACTACAGCGATTTTTTGTAAACATATTAACTTGGAAAATACCAATGTTTCACCAGTAATTTTTTTAACTTTTAGACGTTCTTAAGACAGACTTGAAGGCAAAGTGCGAGAGGATTGCCCAACAGGACGAGAATATTGCTGCCTTAAATGACGTGCTCATTGCGAAAGATAAAAGCGAAATTCTGGAGGCCCGCGAAAAAGCAGATCTAAAGAGAAAGGTGAATGAATTAACACTGGCTCTGGCATCACGAGACCGGGAAGTGGAGGAGCTGCATTTAAAGCTGACTAAAACAAAGGTAATTTTTTATTCATGTTCAAAATTTTGTTTTTTGAGTAAGATGAGGGGTGGGGGGGGGGGTGGAGGAGGGGGTTGTTATATACATCTCAGAAGCAGTGTTCGTTGCTCGGCTTGTTACAAACACTGTACAGATAATTAATTTATTTAAATAAACAGTTTTTTTTTAAATAAACAGCTTATTCTATTTATTACATCCAGGATGAAATGGCGAGCCTCTCCATGAAGACATCTCAGCTGCAGAAGAATGTTTTGGAAGAACTGAATGCAGTCACCAAAGAACAAACTCTCGTTCTTCAGAAAATGAAAGGTAAGTTGTGATGTAGGATGCAACTATTTAATATAGTAGATACGAGGATTTGATGATAATCTGTATTTATTGAAAGATAATGATGACTATTTCTTCCTTTTATTAAAAGGAAGTAAATACTGGTACCAATTGAAAATTGACGCCATTTGATGGGGACCTAGATATGTTGATTTCTTTCTCTCTTTTGTTCCAAGGGAAAAAAACTAACCACATTTTGTTTTTTACAAAAGTATGTAGGCCTTTATAGTTAAGATCATATGTAATGTTTTTTTTTTTTTTTTTTTTTTTTATTCTACCTTACTGAACGCTTTGAAATATTTGGATAAATTTGGACCACGTTACAGTTGTTTAAACTAAAAGTGGTTTTGGTGAAAATGTAGAACAAGATCTGATTTCCCTTTTCTTATTTTAATTTATTTTAGCATTGCCTCTCTGTCATTGTATATATGATCTTTTTTCTACAAGTGATATTAATAAAATCATTTATCATTTTAGAACGCAGTCCTGCACGCTTGATCGATTTCTTGGAAAAACAAGAATACAACATTTTGTCCAGGAAGGAAAAATTCGAGTTGAGACAGCAGGTAGAGTTCTAATTAATCCTGATTTTTCTTTAACTTTTACATGCAACTCTAAGTTTTTAAATAACGGCATGTTTTGTAACGTTGGACGTTATCTGAAGTTCCTCTGGCCTAGCTGTTGGATTTTTTTGTATAAATTTATTATTATTATTATTATTATTATTATTTGTATGAACGATTTGCGTAAAAAAGACCTGTATCAATTCCAGTTATACGACGCAGAACTCAAAGAATACCAATCAGACAAGGAGAAGGCTCACATGCAGGCTAAGATCTCGCAGCTGAACCAGTTGGTGGCGTCAATGAAGATTGAAGGACGCTCAACACCAGACGGCGCGCAGAAGATGCTTGAAAGAGGCGAGTGCACCTCTGGCGCCGTTGTTTCTCAGGTCATCGAGACTCCACTCGGCAAGGAAGGCGCTGTGTCTGACCCCACTGCCCTGGAGGACGATGACCACGCGATGACTACCTGCCCCGCAAGAGCGTGCCTTCCTTCACAGGTCATTTTGGATCCAACATAGATTGGGACTTTACGTTTAGCCTGGGCAACAGAAAAGAACCGCTTTGTTTTGGAGATTTTTTTTTTTTAATTCGGACTTTAACCTTGCACCTCACGTGAACATCAGTGAAAGGCGTTTTGTTGCTACAGGCTACGATTGACTATTTTTTTAAATTTCATTATTTTTATTGATTAATTGATGACTTTATTACTTTTTTCTATTTATGTCACTGCCTTTCGTTCCCAACACTGCCATCACTTTCAAAGCAAACAACTGTACTTATAAATAAAAACGTCCACTTGATTTGGTATATATTTTTTACATAATTCATGCATAATTTTGTACATAACTTGTACATAATTCTTATATGAATTAATCATGTTTTTAATAAAGACAACCAATGTACTTAACATGAATGCATTCAACGTTAAATATTTTGCTTCTTTGGAATGGGTTAAATATTATCGACTATTTGTTTTGCTCAAAACAGTTAGTCTTATTAGAGTTTAAGGGCATTTTGCAAAATGTAAAGCTAGTAGCTGTGTTTAAAGTGTTTGGAACACGTCTAGAAATATTTTGCCATTATGAAAATTGAAAATCAGATCAAATCAAAAATCAATTGAATTCGTTTTGTGGAAATTCATTTTAAAAAATGAACACGCTAGTAGATCAAAAGTTCACACGCGCACGTGCACGATCTCACAAACACACACACACGCACGCATACACGCGTACGTCAATGAGCCACTGAATTTATAATTATGGGCAGCAAGTTTGTCCGACGCAATACTTTCACTGTAACTCTCAGGCAGAGAATGTGTTAGAGAAGACCAAAAAGTAATTTGAACACGGTATTACCAGGTGTATGCCTCGTCTTAGCGCTTTTTTTTTTCTAGGTAAAAAAATTACATCTATTTAAAACATCTTCACAACCACCTTGAACTAGTTTCGTTCATCGCTAGACTGGTGCATAATTTCTTTAAAAAGTTCATTAGTCTGGTAATTATCCATGAATGTTTTTGAATTAATAGTGTCACAGACAATGCTTTTTACCGTCAAATTTTCAGCTCTACTCAAGAAAGTGAAGACTTCGCCAGAGGTGTCAGGGAGGCCATACACATACGATCTTTAAAGAACTTCAATAGGGACGAGGGGCGCTACCAGCTGGCCCACATCTATATGGTGACCTCTTGGGCCTGGGGGGGGGGGGG